CCCTTCAAGGCAGAAAAAAGACCACAAATAACTTATATGCTTTCTTGTGATAGTGTTCTAATTTCCTTGAGGTAAACTCACTAGAGAGTGTTACAACTAAATAAGTGATCATGTTTAGTAAATATATATATATATTGCCATGTATTACATATTTTTCAGCTGTAGCAATCTATGACAATGGGACAGAGCATGATGAATTTGAACATAGTAAGTTTGTGGAAGAGGGGAGGTTTAGACCTGACATGGCTAGAGCCAATTATCCCTAATGTAAGAGTGTATTGGGAAGTGGTATCAATCAAGCACATGCTAGAAAAGACAACAGAATCACTGTGATTCACATTTAACATTGTTAAACTGCAGAGTGATGTTAACGAAGCATAAGTTGTTAATTGCTAATAATTTGGTCGCTACTTAGAAGAATGTCTATTTTGTTTGAAAGTCTAGTTGGCATTTGCAGGTGTATGAAAACCTGGATAAGGAAAAAAAAAAACATCCTGTAAAGCTAACAGAGTTTAGGGTGCAGAGAGTTCTTCACATTTCATGAAAATGATTGTGTGAATTTATCTCCATTGTGCATTGAAGCACTGTACAATTGTCAGGTCAGTTGTATATACATGTAGGTAACCTCCTATAATCATGAAAGCTTGCATCTCCAGTTTAGCTATCTACCATGGAGAAATAAACAGTGTTTTTACTCTTACTCACAGAGAGGTGTAAGAATAAAGGTTATAAGTCTTCAGTTTTGCCTGAGAAGGGAGCAGTTATCTTAGCAGCTATGTCTACACCCTCATCTTATCTGCAGCCAGACTGGATTTGGAGAGAGTTAAAGTAGATCTGAGTAAACTGGTGTCTATCTGAATACACAAAATTCCTCTTTGATTTCTGGATTTCTGGATATGTGTTTCTGAAACACATGCCTGTGTTTCGGTGGCTGTCTCTGTGCTACTTCGCTATCGCTGCAGCTATTGGTCTGGGAGCATACTCGGTAGATGTTGCTGTATCGCTTCTGATGCTGGGGCTGGTTCAGGGATGCAGGCACTGCTTTGTTTTGTGCAGCATTGATGTGCCTTGTGTATAACTGCTGGGAAAGAAATGCCAGTGCTGTCAAAAGAAATAACCTTCAGAGTCTTATGACTTTGGCATCCCAAATAGCTATATATTTTGGAGAAATAAGCAACATTTATTGAACTTGAGATTGACTTGAGATCAGTAGGTCAGACTTGGGCATTTGCCTGAAAGAGCATCACCTTTGTCAGGTCAGTGTTGACAGGGATGGATTAAAGCCAGTTCAGTTAGTGAGCCAGGGAATGCTGCAGCCAAGGTGTAGGGGAGCTGCCCCTGCTGTGACAGCCAAGCCTGCTGTATGTTTGGGTTTCTATGTGGTATGCTAATAGCACTTGGCTCTTTCAGATAATTTGAAAACTGCTGTGGAAGGACTGCTAAATGAAGGGTCACATTCAGCAAGAATTAATTTAACCTCAAGCAATGATATGGCTATGATGTAGGTTTGTACCACTGAGGTTTGTCTATCAGCACTGCTACCTTTTAAACTGGTAGATGTGTTTAACCTCACAGTTATTTATCATATATTGCTCTCTTTGGAATAGCTGCACATTTCCATCTGCATATGGACATGCAATAATCTCAAACCTATTAATACATTTTACTCTGGCTTTCTGGGCCATTTAATGGGCTATGAAATGGTACTGAAATGTGAATTACAAAAAGAAAAGCCCAAAGTACTACCTGTAATGGATTTGTGTGTAGTATGAAATAGCTGTCTCTATGTTTGCAAAAGATGACTTTATCTTCAGTCTTGGGGCAAAAACACAGCTGTAATTTGAAGGTATTGTATTTTTAGCTCAGTGTCATACTTTCTAGAAATATATTAGAGAGGACAATGAAGGTGCAATGCAATTCCAAATAGAACCATTTTTTTTCCAATTCATTTCTGAGACATTGAAATAAATATTTGCCATCTGGAATTTTCAGTTGTATAAGGTTTCCGTAAGAGTGCATATTATTGTAAGGCAGTTTATAGAGCAAACAATATCTAGTGTCAATGTACAGTATTGTGCACTAAATCAATGAGAGGTGCTTTTGACTTCAGGTTTGCTCAGGTTCACAGATGAATTCATTAACTTCAGTCTCAGAAGTTGGCTGTGAGATGTTTTAGCCTCCTCATGAATGCATTCACATTCCTTTGTTCTAGGACATGCAGGTGCCTTGCTAACAGAGGATGCTATTGATTAGAATAACTGCATTTTTATTTGTTTGTTTTCTTTCTTTCTTTTTTAAGTACTGTAGAGTAACTTACTGGGTTGGTGTCCCCACGGAAAACATCCAAAGAATTTCAGTGGGCTTTATGAAGAAATACAATTGATTCAATGAGTTACACTTCATTGCCTTATCTCATGTTTTGTTGTAGTAAGATAGGCCACCATTATTGATGACATCCATTTTTTGATGCTGAAAACTTGTAACACTTTGAGCATTTAAACCCAAGTTACTCTGGGCAGTATCATATTTGGTACTGTCTACCCCAAAGTCTCATTTCCTATTAAAAAATAAGTGTGAAATGTGGGGTGGAAAAAAACTCAGGATAAAAGATAAAAAACAAACAAACAAAAAACAACAACAACAACAAAAAAAAACTGGATAGGACACTTTAAAACTTTTTGCTCTGGAAGTGTACAAATAACATAAGTATTCCTACTCCCATGTCAAAGACATCTTTTAAGATACTGAATCACTCTTGTCTTTTAACCTGCTGTGTTCCTGCTGCTTCTTTCATCCCATTTCCCAGACAAGTCTGTGGCTTTGCACCATCCTGGCTGTACATACTGCAGACAGACAGGGTGCAAACACCCCAGTGCACTCCATTCAGTGCAAGGTGTATGTCACCCTGAAGCCACCCCTGGCACCACCTTGCTTCAGGGAGTGACTGGAGGGCATCACACAGTGAGCAGCACAGGGAGGAAATCAAGAAAGGAACTGGACAGCTTTTGTGTCAGTGTGTTTGTTTTGTGTAAAGCATCTTCTCGAGCCTTAGCTGGCAGCCTGTGAGCTGCAGATTACGTTTTGCCGTTGCTAGGTGGCAATGTGTCTTCAGGAAAGGAGGGTCGGGGAAGGGGGCTTTGCTGTGGCGCCTCAGACGCCTGTGAGGTGGCAGGACGAGGGGGAGAAGCTGCAGACTTCCCCCCCCCCCCCCCCCCCCCCCCCTCCCGTTTTTGGGGCAGGGGGGCATCTGGCTCATGTATAGACACTCACAACCTTTTATTATTGATTTGTGTTATGCCGGGGGCAGGAACTAATCCGTGTTTTGCCTTAAACTAATTTAACACACAGGGCATGAGAGAGGGATGTCAATGCCAGGCGCAGGCCAGAACTGGGGAACAGCGGGTGCCTCAGGGCCGGGGTGCTGCAGGGCCACCTTGCTGCCGCCCCATCCCGGCCTAGCTGTTCTGCTCCAGGGGGTGGCTGGGAGCTAACAGGGAGGAGGCTGGTTGACTAACTTAAAGGCTGATGAGTATTATTGTTTTATTATTATTATTTTACGTATTTATTTATTTATTTATTTCCAGTTAGCAATGTGTTGCAAGATGTAAGCCAGAGATGTCTTGAAATCTGCTGTCTCAAGAGGCCATTACCTTCAGAGTACCTTTGCTTCTGGCTCTCCTCCTCTCTGTAAGAGACCTCATGTTACTTGACTAAACATAGATTAAATTACCCAGTGTTGATTTATTTGCTGGAGATAGCTTTTGCTGTAGAGCAAGACAGTCCCATATTCTGAAAGCTGTGATCTGTATAAACAAATGCCATTTATTATAGATGGTGTAATATGTTCCAGCTTTATTTGTTCTGAGCAAGATGTGCCAAGGATACATCCAATGTTTTTTTTTTTTTTTTATACTGGCAGTTGGGGGTGGAAGGGAGAATTCTTTTCATCCATCTGATCCTGGTTGTTATTTACTCAGAAATGACAATTATTTTAAAGAGAATTAATTATGAGCCGCTCAGAGAACTCTAGTTCAGTGCAGCTGGTTGTCAATGATCTACTCAAAAGCTGTAATTATTACAGGTTTGGAAAGAGAGCTGAAATGACCCAGATGGTTAGTATGATTAAACTGATCCAAAAGTCACCAGAAGTAGTACTAATACTCTGTTTCTAATGGGTACAGCAGTGCATATAGACCTGCTATAGCAGGGGGACAGGTGCTAGCAGACCAGGCTGAGGTGGCTGAGAGCTGTATCATAAAGACATCAAGTTGGACAGGCTTCTGAAGCACAGAGTCCCTAGTGTTGAAAGCTGAGAGGTTAAAAAACAAACACTGTATGAACTAGAACCCCTCTGCCAGCCTCTGAGTGGTTATTCACCCATATACAGTAAAGGGATAAAACAAAGAAAATAATCTGAGAAGGAAACTGAGGGCAAGAAGAGCCCCAATCAGAGTAGAAGCTCTGGAAAACAATCAGGACAAAGTTTAAGCAGTGTTCTGTTTTTCTATCATGTCTGCAAGCACTATAATCCAACAAAAAACAAGTCTGTCAATAGTCTTACATGTGACTAGTTTTGGAGCACTTGATGTACTCTGGCAGTAATAGCTATACAAATGTGCTAGTGGAAGCTGCTTCCCTATGATAAAAAGAAACACGTGACAGAAATGTTTAAAAGAAGCGAGGAAAAAGCAAAAAATGCATTGATGTGAAAATGTATTCATAACTGCTAAATCTGGTAATAGTAGGCGAAAAGAGATGCTGGGAGGACCCTTGAGACTGAAAAATATAAGGGAAGGATCGTAGATGCTATATGCTTTCTTCAGCTAAATGAACTTCAGTTCAGCTTGAGGAAGCTTTTAAAGCTTGGCAGGTTGTTTCCATAAAATAGGGCCCTTCATGGGAAATAGCTGTAGTAATATCAGAGCATGCACCAGTCAGTTGGCTGTGGGGTTCCAGTGAAGCACTGGTGTAGCATATGTATTCTAGGAGTTCATATGGAATGACTCTGGTTTCTCTTCAGATTGTATAAATCTTTTGCATTTTACTAAAGATTTCCGTGGAGAGGAACAAGCCTTTTTTTCTGGTATCAAGGCCACTTGAGGCAGCCCTTGTGAGGGAGGCTGACAAGGCACAGGTGAAGCCAGCAGCACCTCTTTCCTTGCCCTTCAAAGGCAGTCCCCAGGGAGCAGGGGGCAACCAGGACGGGCAAAGAGGACATGGTGTGGCAGTTTGCATGGGCACTGCGCACTCGGAGAGGGCAGAGCATCCCTCCCTGCTCAGGAGAAGTTCATCTACCGGCTGTCTACCTATAGCTAAACCGCCATGGTCTGCACTAGGAGGAGAGCTCTTTCTAGAAAGTCTGTGGCAACCCAGACTGAGTGCCCACTCAAAAATGCGGCCCTTGAGGTCTCTGGATGCACAGAGTGCCTGAGCCTGTTGCTGCACTCTGAGGGCAGCAGAGACACCATGTGTGTGAGGTGTGTAAGCAGGTGGATGACCTGGTCAGCCTGGCGGCTGAGCTCAAGGAGGAGGTGGAGAGGTTAAGGGCTATCAGGGAGTGTGAGGAGGAGATAGACTGGTGGAGCAACTCCCTGCCAGGCTTGAAGGAAAGGCACTGGGGTGAGACACCCAAAACCGTGGTGGACCCTTTTCCATGTTGCTGTCAGGCAGATAAAGGGGACCTAGGAGATGAACAGGAATAGAAACAGGTCCCTGCTCAGCATCACAGAGAGCTGCCCTCCCTACTAGCCTCACATTCCCAGGTGCCCATTACACAACAGGTTTGAGGCTGTGGAGCTTGAGAGGGTGAGGATGATGTGGAAAGTCCACCCAGGAGGTTGCCTAGCGCAAGGAAGTCGACTCCAAGCCTCAATTCTGCCTCCACTAAGAAAAAAAGTTGTGTAATTGTTGTAGGTGACTCCCTTCTCAGGGGAACAGAGGGCTCTGTATGTTGGCCTGACCCTACCCATTGGGAAGTCTGCTGCCTCCCTGGGTCAGGGACATTGCCAGAAACCTTCCCAACATGGTGCACCCCTCTGTTTACTATCCTCTATTGATAGTCCAGGCTGGCAGTGATGAAATTGCTGAGAGAAGCCTGAAGGTTATCAAATGGGACTTTAGGGGACTGGGACGATTAGTAGATGTATTGGGAGTACAGATGGTGTTTTCCTCCATCCCTACAGTGACAGGGAGGGGTACAGAGAGGAACCGGAAAGCCCACCTGATAAACATGTGGCTCAGAGTTTGGTGCCAACACAGATTTTTATTTATTTTCTGACCACTGAGTGCTTTACTCAGCACCTGGCCTGATAGCTGCAGATGGGTCCACCTGTCTCTAAGGGGAAAACTGATACTAGCCCAGGAGCTGGCAGGGCTCATTGAGAGGGCTTTAAACTAGGTAAGAAGGGGGACAGGGATGAAATAAGGCTTGTTAGAGGTGTGCCAGGGGAACAATGTCAGGTCCGGGGGAGAAGGCAATGGCCCAGTTGAAGTGCATCTACACTAATACATGCATCATGGGCAACAAACAGGAGGAGCTGGAAGCCATCATGCAGCAGGCAGGCTATGACTTGGTTGACATCACTGAAATGTGGTGGGACCACTCTCATGACTGGAGTGCTGCAATGTCTGGCTATAGGCTCTTCAGAAGGGACAGGCAGCACAGAAGGGGTGGTGGTGTGGCTCTCTGTATTAGAGAGTGTTTTGATGTTGTGGAACTGGAGGCTGAGGCTGGGAATTATAAGGCTGAGTCCCTATGGGTTAGGATCGACAGGAAGGCCAACAAGGCAAGCATCCTGGTGGGGGTCTGTTACTGACCACCAAACCAGGATGAGGAGATGGAGGAGGCATTCTACAAGCAGTTGGCAGAAGTTGTGCAATTGCCAGCACTAGTTCTCTTGGGGGATTTCAACTTCCCAGACATATCCTGGAAATACAATACAGCTCAGAGGAAGTAGTATATGAGGTTTCCGGAGAGTATGGAAGATAGCTTCCTGATGCAGCTGGTAAGTGAGCCTACCAGGGGAGGTGCCCCGCTTGACCTTCTCTTCACAAACAGAGAAGGACTGGTGAGAGATGTGGTGGTCAGGAGCTGTCTTGGGCAGAGTGACCACAAAATGGTAGAGTTCTCTATTCTTGGTGAAGACAGGAGGGAGATCAGTAAAACTGCTACCTTGGACTTCTGGAGGGCAGACTTTGAGCTGTTCAGGACACTGCTTGGCAGAGTCCCTTGGGAGGCAATTCTGAAGGGCAGAGTTGTCCAGGAAGGCTCGGCACTCTTCAACAAGGAAATATTAAAGGCTCAGGAGTGGTCTGTCCCCATGTGCCTAAAGACAAGCTGGTGTGGAAGAAGACCAGCCTGGTTGAACAGAGATCTGTGGCTAAAGTTTAGGGAAAAAAAAAAAAAAGAGTGCTGAAGCCAAGTGCTGGGTCCTGCACGTGGGGCACAACTACCCAAAGCAGTGCTACAGGCTGGAAGATGAGTAGCTGGAAAGCTGCCTGGCAGAGAAGGACCTGGGAGTATTGGTTGATAGTTGGCTGAATATGAGCCAACAGTGTTCTCAGGTGGCCAAGAAGGCCGACAGCATCCTGGCTTGCATAAGAAACAGTGTGGCCAGTAGGTCTAGGGAAGTGATCGCCCCCCTGTACTTGGCTCTGGTGAGGCCGAACCTTGAATACTGTGTTCAGTACTCACTACAAGAAGGACATCAAGGTACTTGAACATGTCCAGAGAAGGGCGACAAAGCTGAGGGATCTGGAGAACAAGTCTTATGAGGAGTGGTTGAGGGAGCTGGGGTTATTTAGCCTGGAGAAGAGAAAGCTCAGAGGCAACCTTATCATTCTCTATCGGTACCTTAAAGGAGGCTGTAGTGAGGTGGGGATTGGTTTATTCTCCCACGTGCCCGGTGATAGGACAAGGGGGAATGGGCTAAAGTTGCGCCAGGGCAGGTTTAGGTTGGATATTAGGAAAAAGTTCTTTACTGAAAGGGTTGTTAGGCATTGGAATGGGCTGCCCAGGGAAGTGGTTGAGTCACCATCCCTGGAGGTCTTTAAAAGACGTTTAGATGTACAGCTTAGTGATATGGTTTAGTGGAGGACTGGTTAGTGTTAGGTCAGAGGTTGGACTAGGTGATCTTAGAGGTCTCTTCCAACCTAGACAATTCTGTGATTGACTTGGTGGAAGAGGAAAGGCAAAACAACAGAGTGTCTACTGGAATGTTGTGTAGGTTCAGAAAGTGCTCTCTTCATTTGACTAAATTACATAATGGAGACAGTGAACTGTGGTTCATTATCATGGATATTTTGTTCAAACATCAATTGAAAACAAAATTAAAAAAAAAGTCACCATAATTAAAAAACACAAAAACAAAACAACAAACAAACAAAAACAACAAACCAAAACAGCAACAAACCCACAATGTCTCAGTCACATGCAGTTGTGAAAGTATATGGAGGCAATTAAGACAAATCTAACCAAAACAGTATGCTTTGAGATTCTTGGGGCTACTCAATAACAATAAGACTGGAAGTACTGGCAATAGAAAACAAAAGCTGTGAACAGCAAGAGAGTCTTGAGAGGTGGCTGTGGGACTGGATGAGGCTGTCATGTCAGACAGTCACATATTCTAGAGTTACAATTTCTATGGACCCCAGAAGGAAGCAAGACAGGGTATCCAAATTAGCTGGCTTGACCAAGGGATAGGCAATATGCAGAGCAGTTTGTAGGGTAAATTATCACCTGATAACTATGATGCCCATGTGATGGAGAGGTCACAAGAAAATGAAAGGATTCACACAGATACCTTAAACATCACTATTAAGTTTATGTGTGTGTGTGTGTGTATGTATACATATTTGTGGTGTTGAATTACGTATTGGCTGGTGGTTAATCACTATATTTGCATAGAAAGTTAAGACATGATGAACTGTCCCCTTAAAAGTTTCTGGAATTAGCTGCTGACTGTTGTGTGACTACTTGCATTGCATAATGTTGATGTGTTAGAAGTCTGACACCAAATGCAGCTGATCTCTGCTTGCCTTGGATTTCTAAAATCTACTGTGTGCATAACACAGATGCGTATGCAACTAATAGATATATTATGCCAGTTAGCCCTCTTTAGGGAAGATGAAATTCCAACATAATAATGATTCTGTATAAAGGCTTAATGTGATTTAGATGAGGCTGTCCAATAACTTGCAATATACTGACTATATTTTAAACAATGCAATTGGACAGTCTTCTTTCAAATAAACTAATCTCACTGTTATGTATACTTATTGGTATAGACCTAGAGAAAATCAGTAACTGCATTGTGCTGTTAATTCCATTTATTTCTCTATATATTTTACATTACAGTTATTCAAGTTGGGTAATTACCTGAGGATTCAAAGCTAACTGATCTTTGTTGACAGGCTGTAATGACTTAAACCAGCATCTTCTTTTCAGTGCTCCTGTTAAAATGAAAGCAGTTATAAGAGCATATTCATAAGTTTTCCTAGCCACTGTACAAATATTTTAGAAAATAAGCTTCCAGAAATACCAGTTAAACAGATACTGAGCCAGCAAAGACACCAAATCAAACAGAAGAGATAGGGAAGGCCATTAAGAGAAAGGATTAAGGTATTCATCTCTGAATGGCGTTTCCATTACTGTGAAACTACTTGGAATGAAATGGGCAAATAGCTTTGAAGAAAAAATAGCGACATTGTGGTGGTATCATTTGCGTAGGTTATTATGTGGTGACTTTGATTTGGAGGAAGAGTGAAGAAGAATTGGAAAGGGATTTTAATCAGAGTTGTTAGCAGCAAAAAAAGGAAGGGCAAAATGTGATTCATGCAGTGGAGCATACCCTGGGCAGTAGGCACTTGCACAAGTGGAAATACTGTAATTTTACTTGGTGATGCTCTCTTCCTCTTTCTAATTAGGCTGTGAATATAACAGTCAATGTTTGCATGGTGCCACATGCAGCCTTCCTAGACCTCCCTCTCTTCTGGCTAGTGAGAACAGCAACACACTGTGCTGTTCTGAACTGAGCATGGTGGAAAGAGGAGTTTCTGGAAATCCAAAGTAGGGCAGTCAGAGGCAGGCAATACCACCACAAGACTGCCACTTTTTGTCTC